AATCCCACCGTGGCCGGGCATATTTTTCAAGCTCGCCCGGTGTGGATATACACTCAGAGTAACACCACAAATATCATATTCACCTGAGTACACTACGCCAACATAGAAAAATTCATATTACTAGAAAACATTGGTATCGAAGGAACTAGATTCTGTTCCGAAATATCACTTACTCGAACCGTCCTGACCGCGTAGCTCAGTTGGAAGAGCATTGGGCTTGTATCAGACTTGTTAGAACAACCTTGTAACAAGTCTGATAGTGCCATTAAGGTTGTCACAAGTTGTTAACAGCTTGTTCCAAACTTGTTGGAACAACTGAGAACAAGCAATGCGAAGACAACATGTTGACAACTTGTGAAAAGATTTGTAACAACTTGTTTGCAGACCTGTAACAACTTGTGCGTTTTTACGTGTGTACATGAGACTGGAGCGAAGTCAAACCGCGGGACAAATTCGTTTTGGTCATAGTATTATTTATAATAGATGTTTACATGAGACCGGGACATAACTCAGAGCGGTCTCAAGTCATTCCGCCTGCTGGACCGAGCCGACTGACTCCAGATCGACATGAATTCGAACTGGGATGAATGTAAACACAAATACATTTCAGACCGGTCTCGGCTGTAACCTTGACATTGGAACAATACATGCTAACAAAAGCCTGGCAAGGGGAATAATTTGAAAATTTTGTGATTTTCGTACCGGTTTCATGTAAACATGTTGACAATTTCAATTTTCATTCTGGTTTGACTTCGTCCCAGTCCCATGTAAACGGGGCCTAATACTGGATCTGACAGAATAGAACCAGGGTGTTAGCTACAGTAAAAAAATCCGCGTTAAACGCGGTTTTCCCAGTTACCTTGATGTCGCAATTTCCCAATTTGGATCAGCCAAAAAATAGTTATAGAAATTCATTGTTTTTAATACACCATTAAAAACATGTTTATAACTACATTTTATTTTGCTCAAAATTACTCCCAAAATGCGGGAAATGCCATTTCAAAGATATATAAATTTTAAAAATCGGGGGCAACCGCATGCCCTCAGACCCACAAAGAAATGCCCGGTTTCAGGCTAAAAGAAATTTCCCAATTTCAGATAAACGCGGATATTTTTACTTCTGGCTAACACCTTGAGAACTGATAGAGCTATCCACTATTAATAAAGCGTAGCTTCACATTCTTATCTTAACACAAATATTACCATACACTGCGTACCTTGATAAAGCAGCGAGCCAAACGCAAGAGCCTCGGCGCTGGCCCAGTCTATATTGCTGTCAGCTTGAAGCTTTGCCATCCGAGCTTCACAGAAAGTTTTATGTAAATGTGGATGAATAGTTACTTCCGGTTCAATCTCACAAGATTTGGCGCCAACGAATAGCAACACGTCCAAATCACAACCTAGGCAAGACAGTAAATGAGAGAAATATCAGTTGACATTATGTGGAGAAACATAAATCATTTTAATATCAAGAATTTAGGCATCTCACTCGACAGAACTAATGAAGGGTTTTTTGTAGATGGAATTTCGAATGTTTAAGCCTTAAGGCCCGTTTACACGTAATTTTTGCTGCGATTTTAGGTGCGACTTTCTTCTCCTGATGTGAACGAGCGGATAAGTTAGGAATGTTTAGATGAGGGTGTACTGTATCTGTATACGTTGAGTGTGTACTGTATCTGGTACTGTTTCTGAATAGAGCGCTGGTTAAAAGAAACACAAAAAAATTGAATTTCATTAATGGGTTTTTGAATGGTTTTTAAAGATTTATCATGAAGATTGAAGACTTATCAAAGTAAAAACTAAAAAACTGAATTCTTAGCATTATTGGTTATTAAAGATTTCCAATATGGTAAATTGGTAAAAAACATGATGTGTAATATTTACTATTAATGGTATTTTCCTGTGCACAGGAAAAATACCATTAATGGTAAACATCAAACATAACCAATAATGGAAAAGTTCAGTTTTTACATTCAAAACCATTAATGAAATTGAATTTTTTTCCTGTGCAAAGACCTTGGATTCAATTTCCTGCTGGGGTAGTCAGAAATTAAAACAAGGGAATCGAAATCATTTGGACAAGGCTGTTCCTGTTCCTGTTCCTGTTCCTACACTGACAATAAGTATAACTAAAATACTAACAACAGTCCAATAATATATGACAGTAAGCAACTTGGTAACTAGTTCTCCAATCTCCACTCACCAGTATCAAAATGGGCGACCACGCCTTTCTGCGCGGACTTTATCCCAGTCCACTGTTTAGAAAGATGAGACGCCTCAGCTTCGTAAGTCTCCGCTTTCTTACTTTCTTCTGATAGAAAGTTTTTATATACTTCAAGTTCACTAGAAATATCTTCAGTGTCAACACCTTGCTCAGAGAGGGCCGTAAAGTAGAGGTCTGGGACTTGATCACGTGATACGATACCGCTGTACATTGTTGGCTGAGTGAAGGAAGGCTCATCCATTTCATTGTGACCCCTAGAGTAGAAAAATATATCTTCAATAAAACGAACGGCGCTGAATTTCGTACTGGGTAGTTTATAGTAAATGGGGGTATGTATGTATGTATGTATGTATGTATGTATGTAAAAATTTATTTAAAGACGCTAGCCTTGTGAACAAAGAGAGTTGATTTCCACAAGGGGCGTCGACATTTGAAAATTTACAAAAACTATTTACAAAAAAGACAAATATAAGTACAAATACATGCAATATATACAGTAATTAATTAGAATGGTTTAAAAGGAAGTTGGTGGTTTGGTGTGATTTGGCCATATAAATGTCTGTAATTATCCATTTAGATTAATATTAGGTTAGTTACTTTGCCTTACAATATTTTTAAAAGAACATTTTGATAGGGCTTCCTTAGCTTCACCAGGAAGATCATTCCATAGTTTAGCACCACTATATCGAACTGGCTCTTTTTCAGAAAGTCGCGTCTTGGCTTAGGAACGGCCAGATCATTCTGAGCATTTCTGAGATCGTAAGTCGTTTGCGAAATATTCCTTTTTATCAAAAACTCTTTCAAGTTCGGCGAACTATGGTCGTTTAGAATTTTATAAACAAGAGTTGCCTTAGTTAATTTTCTTCTAGATTCTAAATTGTCCCATTCAAGAGATTGAAGAACGTCAGCAGACCTGATCTCATAACCTGCAGCAATAGCTATTATCCTAGTTGCTCGATTTTGAAACTTCTGCAATTTGTCTTTTAATGTCTTGTTACAAGTGTCCCAAAGGGTGTCCCAAAGGGGAGAACAATAATCGAAGTAGGGTTGTATCAAAGCGCTATAGATGGGGGTGTGCTAATCATCCTTACTTACAACTGAGAGCTAAGCTGAATTGCGAAGGACGGAGCTGATCGAGTCAAAGGCTTTCTTAAGCCGGTTTTCCACTAGCGAATTTTTTCGCGCGAAGCAACCTTTTTCCTTTGTCGGCATCCATTTTGCCACGTCTTGCTGACGTAATAAGTGATACCGACAAAGGAAAAAGGTCGCTTCGCGCGAAAAAATTCGCTAGTGGAAAACCGGCTTAATGCCGGTTTTCCACTTGCGAATTTTTTCAGGCTAAGCGAATTTTTCACTTGTCTTTCAAATGGAACCAGCTGGAACTAATTGGATAAAGACAAAAGAAAAATTCGTTCGCGCGAAAAAATTCGCAAGTGGAAAACCCATAGATATCTTACATACACTAGATAGTGCATCTAATTATTCTGCAATTCAAAAATTGAAGCCGTGATTGCAGTCTCAGGTCGTTCCCATGAAGTGAGAAGATTCGTATGTTTTCCATTTCTTAAACAAGGAACTTAAACATTAAGTTAACCCTATTCCAAATACGTTTTTAAACTATTCAAATTATGAAAGTTATTGTTGTTTTTAAGCGTTTATTAGCAAGTGGGAACGACCAACATGGCCGCCATCTATTCAAATGGGGGTAACCGCTGGAATATTCTTGGCTTCAATTTTACTAAAAGAGATGCGCTATCTAGTGTATATAAGATATCTATGGGAAAACCGGCTTAAATTAAGGGCTCCTCTGGCAGCCATGCACCTCATAACTGATCACACGGAACACAGCTATGATCAGTTAGGGTCAGTTAGGGGCTAATCCCAACTCACCCTGTCAACACTTCCTGCGGTTGAGTGACTCTTTTCACATAAGTATCACGAGCCCATAGCGAGAATAGAACCCACGATCTCAGAGGTGAAAGGCGCTTAGTAAGCCTATATAACCCTGTCCATCTTCTCTAATACAAACACTGAATGGACAGGGTTCAGTGCCTGTATTAGAAAGGTATTGGTTTATAGAGGTGGATTTTGCAAACATAATTAATTTTTTACCATCTTCTGTAACACAACATATCGACGATCACATCTTTTCTATACTTCATTCGATATTCCATCGCAAGACGACATGCTCGTATCACCTCCTGTGACATTAAAGATGAAAATCTATTACATATTCTTTTAAGATTTGCACAGTCCTGTACTCCCCCTCATCCGCCCATGCAGGCCAACATACCTCTGGATGGTCGCCATTCACGTGAAACACGGGGCATTCAATCATCTTGCCGATGTCACTTGAATATCGAGATGACCTAAAAAAGATGTGCGTAACTCGGATTATAGGAAATATATCACACATAATTAAATGTTCCATTGCCGGTATATATATTGAACTGTTCAATTGGTGTGAATAGTTCGACTTGCGTAAATACTACATCCTATGACACCGTGAAGTCATGACGGATGACCTATCTCGTAAACCGTGGCTATAAGGTTTGCTGCAAAAACAGGGCTGGCGTACTTTATAGTCACAAACCGAGGTAATAAGGCATACCTGTAGATTTTATTGTTGTGGAGGTAGCCAATCTTTAAATGGAGCTAGACTATGCCACATTCTCGTACCCAGAGGCCGTCTTACACGCGATCAACAGAGCATGACAAGGGTAGCAGGTACGATCGGCAGTTGCGCTGCATTTGCCGCAACTGCAGATCAAAATTTAGCCTCTGAACGACAACACAATGCCAAGTGTGCCAAGTATAGAAGTGCATTCTGAGAGTGCATTCTTGCAGTTATTCTAGTTAGATAATAACTCCGGGCTTAGATAACAAGCTCCAAATGATTTTTGGAATTAGCAACACAGCAAGTAACTTCAAGCTTTATACATACCTAGCGGCTAGGCTGGCTTGCCTCGCTACACAATACTTTTTGGAGTTAGACAGTAACTCAAGGC